CAGAGGAGTACACAACCTTTCGGACTCGTTACGGGACCTACAAATGCAAGGTACTACCATTTGGATTGACCAACGGCCCTGCGACCTATCAACGGTACATGAACGATGTTTTGATTGACTATCTTGACGATTTTTGCATCGCCTACCTCGACGACATTCTTATCTACTCCGACGACCCTAGGACTCACCAGTCACATGTCGAAAAAGTTCTGGAGAGGTTGCGAATTGCAGGACTCCAGGCTGATATCAAGAAAAGCGAGTTCCACGTCACAAGGACGAAGTATCTAGGTTATATCCTCACCAACCAAGGAATTGAGGTTGACCCTGACAAAGTAGAAGCCTTACGAAACTGGGAGCGACCTACAACCATTACTGGTGTGAAATCGTTTCTAGGATTTACAGGTTTCTATCGACAATTCGTACCCAATTTCTCTCGCGTAGCTAAGCCGCTGATCGTATTACAAAGCCCCTCTATCCCCTTCAACTGGACCACAGAGTGCGATGTCGCTTTTGAGCACCTTAAAGCGGCCTTACTGTCAATTCCGACCCTGTGCCATTTCGACCCTGAGTACGATACGAAACTGGAGACCGACGCCTCTGATGGTGTGGTTGCAGGAGTACTATCGCAAAAACACCCTGACGGAAAATGGTACCCAGTTGCGTTCTACAGCCAAGTCTTATCCGGTTCGGAGCTGAACTGGGAGATACACGATAAGGAGTTGTTCGCCATACACCAAGCTTTCTGCAAGTGGAGAGCGGAACTAACGAGTGCCCGATCTCGCGTCCAAGTGTTCTCTGACCATAGAGCACTAGAGTACTTCATGACAACTAAAGTACTTAGTGCAAGACAAGTTCGTTGGGCAGAGACTATGGCCCCGTTTAACTTCCGAATCGAGTATACTCCGGGTGCAAGCAACGCCAGAGCAGACATCTTAAGCCGTAGGGAACAAGATCTGAGTGACTTACGGGTTGCCCAGCGAGACAATCGTTCACGCGTTTTCCTAGGCCCGAATCGACTCGACACTCGTATCAACTCCGATCTCGCCCAGAAGTACATAGGAGATCAACAACCCGACGCCCAAATCCACGTGCTTAGTACCAGCAAGCGCCATATGGACCTAGACTCGTTAGAATTGATCGAAGCGTTACTACAGGACAACCGGACCGGTTTCGGTCTGGAACGCGAAAGTTTGCCCAACCAGTATCGCGTCAGCAATGGACTATTGCTCTACAAGGATCGTCTCTGCGTTCAGGCAGACTCTACCCTCTGTACACGGTTGATTCGGGAGGTCCACGACCAAGTATCATCTGCGCATCCAAGTGCAAAGAAGACTTATCAGTTATTGTCTGAGAAATATCACTGGAAAGGTATGGAAACTTCATGTCAACGTTATGTTCGTAACTGCATTCCGTGCCGAAGAGGACATCCGAAGCAGACCCGACTCCAAGGTTACCTCCATCCCTTGCCTATCCCAGACCGACCTATGCAACATCTTTGTATGGACTTCAAGGATTTTCCGCCAGACAAAGCCGGTTACGACCAGATCATGGTAATCATCGACCGCCTGTCCAAACAAGCAATCACGATACCATGTCATAAGAACATAAACGCCCGAGGTATGGCCAACCTGTTCATCCAATGGGTGTACCGATTCGGCCACACCCCAGAGTCTATTGTGTCAGACCGTGGTCCACAATTCGTGTCTACTTTCTGGTCCGCCTTCTGCGATATCATTGGTGTGAAGGTCAAACTGTCAACCGCCTATCACAAGGAAACGGATGGTCAAACCGAAATCATGAACAAGTATATCGACCAGAGATTGCGCCCGTTCGTATCCTACTACCAGGATAACTGGAGCGATCTACTGCCCATGATTGACCGAGCCCAAATGACCCTACCCCACTCAGCAATTGGTATGGCCCCGTATCAGGTCCTTTTTGGTTCTGAACCAAAGCAGAGCTGGTTCTGGAACGACCAACCGGTGAAAGGAAAAGGACCAGAAGCCATAAACCGTAAGGATGCCTTAGCCCTGGCCACTCGCATGCATGACGCCTGGGCCACAGCCAAGAAGAACATGGAACAGGCTCAACTCCGAATGCAGACCGCAGTCAATAAGCATCGTCAACCAGTCGATTGGAAGGTTGGCGATATGGTCTATCTAAGCACCAAGAACCTGTCGAACCCGCGCCCCAGCAGAAAGCTATCTGACCTGTGGGAAGGTCCATTTCGAGTACTAGAACAGGTGGGACATTCATACCGACTTGACTTACCTAAGGGATCTCGCATCCATGATGTGTTCGCCCCAAATGTGTTGTGCAAAGACCCCCAGGACCCACTCCCAGGACAAGAAGCGCCGAAACCCTCAGGTATCCCTATCCAAGGCGTTGAAGAGTGGGAAGTGGAAGAAATCCTAGCCAGCAAGCTCCATCGCGCAACCCTGAAGTATCAGGTCAAGTGGGTAGGCCACGATCAGGATCCTACTTGGTATAACGCCTCCAACTTTATGGGCGCCCCCCACAAGTTAAGAGCGTTTCACGAACAATATCCGAATAAGCCAGGACCTCCAAGAGGTCTGGACAAATGGATCGACGCGTGGGAGAAAGGAATGGAAGACATGTCGCAGCTAAAGGATGACAAAGTGAGGGAGAACAAACGCAGTTTGTTATAACACGCTATCTACGGGTACAAACTGGCCAGTTTCAGACCCCGCCTCAGGCCTCACGGCAGGTTCATCTCGTCACCTGACAATTCATGAGGCACGTCAGACAGCTCACTGTCCGACTCCGCCCCGACTTCTCCTCTTAAACCACCGTCATATCTATTGCCCCTTCCACCACTTGGACGACCGCCCCGTCCACCTCGTTGTCTTTTTCCACCTCGACTCCCTCCTTCCACGAGACCCTGCAAAGCTTTTGTTAGCTCCACCTGAGCTCCCGCCACCTTCTCGACAGCCGCCGCCAGATCAGCCATCTGAACCTGAAGGACCCGATTCTCCTCCGCTACCCGATAGTAGTCCGCTAGTAGCACATCTACCACCAACACGCTCTTGAGCTGGGCAGTCGCTACCTGCACACAGCTCGCCAGCGCGAAGGCGGCAGCCCGGACCCTAGCCTCCGTGATGTGGCGGTCATGAATCACGTCGCTGCCGAGCGCGACCTCGTACTGTCCGAGGGCCTGCCAAAAGACGGAGAATTCGCTTTCCACATAAGTGGGAAGCTAGAATCTGTTAATGTATAACTAGGCAAGGGCCAGTATCGGATTCGTACCGGAACACACTTCTCGTTTTGAAAAGTGCAGTACGCACACTTCTTGGAGCTCATTGACGAAAACTCGAAGTCAACAAATCGGCCGCGAGCAGCAGCCCGGACTGAACGAATACAGATGACTCTGTGAGCCTCCGGAAGCGCGCCGGGTGGTACAGGGATTGGCATGATGTTTTACAACTTGTCAAAGGTCAGACGTATAGCCAAGTCAGTCCGATATACGTACGCAGAGGTATTCTGTTTGCTTGAGACGAAACAGAAACTGGAAGAACCTCTCTGTTGGTATACTCAGTTGTGTCGCCACGACAACGGAGTATATGACGACACAAAGTGAAAGTAGGTTCACGTTACCTACTGCCAATTCTTTTTCACTCGCCACCTCCGTATACGTTCCGTTTCGAACCCGAGTCACAGATATGGGACTATCTGTCTACAAGGAGGGGGGTAGTGTAACAACGCTCTACGAACAGTGACCCGATACCACTAGGATACGGTTCTAGCGACTCATGACCATGGCCCTTGTCGCATGGCATGAGCTCACACCGAACTGCCACCGAACCCTCATATATAAGGAGCAAGGGACTGTAGCATTGTAGAGTAGTTTTTCTGTATCCTTTCGTACAAGACCTATAGGTGTAGAGAATATATCCTGGTGTTCTTATCATCCCAGCACTCCCATATGCCTCGTAGCGGATTCACACCTATTCCGGATATCTCTCTTCTTGCCTGCGTCGTTACAACATCAGGAAAAGTTTTTCGAAATCCGGCCCAGACTGGCTGTTGCTGACAGTTGTGGCATAGTTGTGCAACAGCTGTTTAACAGCCCTAACAGCCCTAATTTGCGCCTAATAGCCCTAATTTCGCGCTAATATTGCTAACAGCTAAAACACTAAGTGCCTATATTTAATAAACTTAAAATAATGTTGCAATATTATTACATAGCTACCCTTAGTTCTGCTAGTACTAGTATTAAATATTTAAAAATTGCAAAATTTCACGTATAGATAGAGCGAAATTGTAGCTTCAAAATAAGCAAAAAATTATTATTGTAGGCCTACTACAACGCGAGTTATAGAGCGTTGAAGGTTTGTTTGTTAAAGGTTTGTGTTTTGAAGTTGCGACAGCACACCACAGCAGCTGCAGCTGCGCCAGCACACAATGTATCAGCTGCAGCTGCAACAACACACCACAAAGCACATTCTAACAAGCACGCACTGCTGCACAGGCAGGCCTAGGCGTAGAATTCTTAGTTTACCTACTATTCTTGAATAATATTCTTGTATTTTCTAACATTCAGGCTGCTAGAGCCCTAGCAAAGAATCTTAACTTAGTGTCTTAGCAAGGAATATTAAGCTTAAAACCTTCCACGCTTAATAACTATTCTATTAATAGGCCTATAATATTGTTTAATAGCTTATTTTAAAGAGGAGACTTAGTAGTATATTAATATAATAAAAGTATAGTTTATTAAGCAGAGCTACTATTGTAGCAGGATTAGGAGTTGTTGTGGCTATTGCAGCTGTTAGGACTGTTAGAGCTGTTAGCTTAAAATTAGCTAGACATTAAATGCACATTAAATAACTATTGTAGGCCTACAAGTCCTACTGTTGCCTACAGTACAATGCCACGATTTCCTGATTTCGACAACGGAAAAACTTTTCCTGATGTAGTCCCTAATTACCTTAGGATCCTCACATAGAGCTCTCTTATAGTTGTACTTGCAATTAAATTTAACTTTAAGCTCTAGCCAACATTTTACAAAGTTAGCAGCCTAGTTCTTGCTAACGTAGGGCTAGTGGCGCTCAGCAAGCAGAGAATTGGCCATATCCTCCACATTAGCAAGCCAGGGTGAGTATCCTTGCTCGTCTAGCTTCAATACATGCTAGACAATCACCTCCTCTTTAGAACTAGTCATCCTTATCATGTTAGGCTTGCAATCGCGTTGTGAAGAGGTTCTAGTAAGGCGCGTGCCTAGGGTGCTTTAAGAGACCTAGTATATTGCT